AGCCACTCCAGTTGAAATAAAAAACTCTCATTGCACTCAAGCTCTCAAACACTCTCAAGCGCTCACAAGCGATCCTGCTACCTACAACTGCCTTCGAACGCCTGCCAAGCGATCAGTTAGATTAGGAAGTTTGAGAGATTTCAACGCGCGTGTCCCACAGAAACCGGGTAGTACCCGCCTCCCTGCACAGGGTGGTGCCGGCTCGGCTGAAGCGGCCTAAGGGGTAGTGGGGCATTGGGGCCCTGCGACACCATCTTACTGCAGGAAAAGCTGTGGCACTGTCGGTACCAAGCGGACCTTCGTCGGTCTCGTGGCCCGCCGGCCTTACGGCTAGGCGGGGTATGGTCACAACCCGACAGCTGGAAGCCGATCTGCAGCGAACCACGGTTAGTGGGAAGTACAGACACTATATGGTGGTGGGTCTTCCGGACTCTGACGGAAGGCTTAAGAAAGAGCGCTCTGCGGGGAGTAATCTTCGCACTATGAGTCCGCCCATACAAAGGGCGGCCGATGGCAAGCCACAACGCCGTCGAGGGAAGAAGCACCTAGCCCTTCCCGCCCCCGGGCCCCAACAGGGCGAGCCAGCCCGTCTTGTCCCTGTTGGGGAGGTTCAAAGGGATTCGCCACCCCTGAAGGACCCCGAGGCCCTCTCACTGACGGTGTACGTTGGCGCCCCTGCATCTCGCAGAAAGGGCAAGCGCTCTGCCAAAGCGCTTGACCTTGAGGAGACACCAACAAAGAAGCAACGTCCTGAAGAGGGCCCCGGCCAGACGTCTGCTGTTCCGCAGCAACCCTTGGACTTGCCCACTGGCTACGTGCCAAATGTGGTCATAGTCCATCCACCCGGGCACGACAACCAGCAACAGTTGGAAGTGCGAGGTCGGAAACAAAAGAAAAGGAAGGCCGCCGCTGAGGCGAAGACACTCACCGAAACAGACTACCCGCCCCCTCCAAAGATCGTTTTCTTCGAACCTGTGTTGAACACGGTCGAACCGTCTTCGGAGCCGGAGAAGGCAATTCAGAACCCCTTCGACGGATCAGGGACACACCTTGGAAAACCCGCCCCGGAATTTCCGGGATTCAAAGCGGGCGAACAAGGTGTCCCAACGGTGAGCGGTGACAGCCTCAACACCAGCAACCTCTCGTCAGTGGTTGCGAAATGTAAAGGTTGTCACCACGTCTTTTGGGGACAGAAGATCCGCAAAATTCGTAAGCGGCATCGATGCCCCCCAGCCCGGCCCGACTCAGCCAAGCCGAGGGAAGCACTACGGACCAGTCCAGAACCCAAGGCGCAGGGCTCGTTGCCTGTGCTCGAGGGAGATCAGACCGCTCCGGAAGCGGCTCCCCAGGCGAAAGCTGGGCCTGAAGAGGTCCTCGGGGATGACTCCCAGCAACACCCACTCAGTGGGGCCGCTGGACAAAGAGGCACCCCCGTCCCTCACTCCGACAACCCGGCACATCCAGCTGAAGCTGGGCCCGACGTGGACATGAGGACCCTGCCTGTCGATGATCGGAATAGCAGCCAGTCACACCGCGAGCCACTCCCGGATACCCAAGGCCGGGATTCCTTTGACCGCCTCATTGACATGATGATCGCCCTCTCAGAGAAGGTTCAGACAATGTCTAACCAACTCGAGGAGGTGCGTCGTTCTGTTTCTGCTGGCGAGAGGGAGGTCGCTAAGCCAGCCACGGAGAATCTGGGAGCCATTCCCGACATTCCCACGGCTAGCGAGGCAGCCTCGGCCGCGCAAAGTCCATCCCTCCCTCCCACAAAAGGGGTGGACTCGGGTCACAAGACCAAGGGCAAAAAGCCGAAGCAGAAGAAGAAGAAGAAGAAGCCTAAGCCTCGGGCCTCTCCCTCACCTTCGACTGCTACGGCCCCTGCAGCACCTGCAGTGCCGACCTCGACTCCAAAGCCGTCGGGCGAAGCATCCCCCCCTGCAGTGGCGCTGGTTCCAAAGTCACCGGGCCCCCGCCCCAAGGGGAGGGCAGCGTGGGGCGAGCTTGGACCTCGCGACAAGTCCCAAGCAGTGACGCGGAAGGCGGGCGCGGCCAAGCCACCAACCTTTGCTGCTTCGAGCTCGGAGGATGCCTCTGCGCCAACCAAAGCGTCAAAGGACCCATCAGCCGCACCTGCAAAATCCGACTCCAGCGCTATCAGTCATGGGGGCCAAGCAAAACTCCCAAAGGGCCACCGGTGCACTTTCTGCAGCCGCTTGTTCCGCAGCCGCAAGGAGGTTGAGGACCACGCCAAGCGGAAAAATGGGTGCGCAAACCGGGACGCGCAGCGGGAGGACCAGCTCCGAGACAGAAAGCGGACGGTCTCTTCAACACCGGAGGGCTGCGCAGCGGTAGCAGACGAGGCGGAATACTGGGCCAACTTTGAGGCAATAGACTGGTCACCCATTCTTGGAGAGGAAGCGGCTATGCTGCCTACCCTCCGCAAGGTGCCTTTCAAATGCCGAGGGCTGGCCACCGCCTGTCTCCGTCCAATTCTTGAGAAACTCCGACAGGATGGGGACCATAAGCCGGCCGGGACTCTGCTAGGGCTTTTTCCGCAGCTGTGCCTATCAACAGCTGCGCTCTCGAACGACTCCCCTCACTGGAAGCAGGTGCGGGAGCTGCTGACCTTATGGAGGCGCGGGGACTGGACCAAGTTACACCTGCGCGCCCTGGCGGCTATCAACAAAATGAATAGCAGGGTTCGAGAGAACAAGGCCCGAGTGGACGACCGGTACGGCAGTGCGGATACACTGGCGCGAACACGTCGCTGCATCAAGTTCGGGGAGCTGGCTGAACTCTCACGAGCAGCAGAGGCGCTGATTGCGGCAGACCTTGCCCCAACCACGGACGAGACTCGTAAGAGTCTGGAGGAGAAGCACCCCCGCCCCACGGTCCCCTTCACAGCAGAGGACGGCAGCTGCACCCTTCCTCACCCGGAGAAACCCACGAAGTGGGTCCTGAAGCAGGAAGTTCTCGCGCGGGCCCTTCGCGAGAGCCCTCGTGGCTCTGCAGGCGGTCCCACCGGCTGGCGCATGGACTTCTTACGCGAACTCTTCACGCACCCCGGAGACCTCAAACTCCTGGGGGCATGGCTTCAGGCAGCAGCAAGAGGGGATGTGGGGCAGGGGGTGGCGCAGTGGTGGACCTCGAGTTCGCTAGTGGCTTTGGAGAAACCAGGTGGCGGTGTCCGCCCGATCGCAGTGGGGGAAGTCTTCCCTCGCCTCCTGGCCCGGTGTCTCGCGGTCGACTACCATGACGCCATCATCCGACACCTGAAGCCGAAAGGGCAGTTTGGGGCTGGTGCGCGGAACGGAGCGGAGACGGTTATCCACGGGGTGCGCGCTGCATTGAAGGCTAACCCCACCTGGGGCGTTCTTCAAATCGATGTTAAAAACGCTTTTAACTCAGTTTGTCGGCAGGCGCTCTTCAAGGAGTTGGTCAAGGGCCCATTTGTGGGCATGACCCCGTTTCTGCGAACCCTCTACGGGAGTCCCTCCCCACTCTTGTACAGAGCCGATGCAACACGGCACACCTTGTGGTCGCGAACAGGAGTGAGGCAAGGGGATCCTCTGGGGCCGTTTCTCTACGCACTAGCACAACAACCTGCTCTGGAGGCGGTGAAGGCGGCGCACCGAGACGTCTTCTTATGCAGCTATGCGGACGATACGTACCTGCTGGGGGAGCTGGACGCGATTGGAGCTGCTTTCCCTTCCCTTTGTAAGGAGCTTCAGGGGATCGACTTGGAAGTCTCGCAGAAAAAGTGCCAGTGGTACGCGCCGAGTGGCAAGCGGCCGTCCGCCGACAACCCGCTCTGCGAGATGACCGAGGCTGCGGAGGGCCTTGTGGTAGTTGGTTCTCCAGTTGGTAGCAAGTCTTTCGTCGAGGCTGCGGTCTTGACGAAGATGGAAACTGGGCAGTCGATCTTGGGCAAACTGCCTCGGATCAATCATGCTCAGATGGCCTCCCGGATCCTGGCAGGATCGGTCTCGGCGCGGCCTAACTTCTTAAGCCGCACCACACCACCGACTTCTTGCTTCCGGGAGACCCTATCACTCTGGGACACTTCCATGTTGTGCTGCTTTTCGGAGATCCTGAACGACGACAGCTTACTCAACCCTGGCAAGGTTAACAAGGCAGCGCAGACGCAGATCACTCTACCGGAACGGATGGGTGGCTTCGGGGTCCAATCAGCCGCGAGGACAGCTGACTTGGCGTATGTGGTCAGCCTTCTTAGTGTCGCTGGGACCCTGAAGTCCTTCTTTCAGATGGGAGGGAAGAGCATTCTCGGAGTCGAGGACAGCGAGGCGCCTTTCCCGCCCATCTTTGAGGAGGCTGAGTCGGCGCTGAAAAGGCTTCCAGAAAAAGTCCGCACGAAGCTGCCTACGTGGAAGACAGTCGGGGAGAGAGGGCTTGAACGCGGAACTTTCACGGTTTTGGCACGGGAGCTGCAGATTGAGGCTTTGAACGGGATCCGGAAGTCCCTTAACCGGCCCCGCCACAAGGCCCGATTGACCAGTTTGCAGCTGCAGAACGCGGGCGCGTGGGTCTCGGCTCTACCGTCTCGACCGGACCTCCAGCTCGAAAGCGACGACTGGGCGATTGCGGCGAACCTTCGGTTGGGTCGGGACATCCCACACCTCATTCAGGCGGGGACTTGCTCGTGCGGGAAGGACTTATCCACTTGTAACGCGGCGGGGCATGCTCTCAGGTGCTCCACCAAGTACGCGCCGTCTATCCCCCACAATGCCATCCGGGACCATGTGGCGATGGTCTGCAGGGAGGCGGGCATGCAGACGACGATGGAGGATAAGGCTTTTTTCGGTGGGAAGCCGATCCCGGATGTCGTGAGTCTCCACACGGACAGCGGGAAGACCTGGGTGATGGATGTGGTCATCGCGGATCCGCACGATAACAATGCCAACTGCCCGGAGACCAAGCCAGGAGCGGCCCTCAATGAAGCCGTTCGTCGGAAGAAGGTGACCTACAAGGAGGCGGTG